CCCAGCCACTTTACTTCAGATCCTGTTCCCTCCTAATGTACCTAGAAAAGCAATGATAGATGGTTCAAGTCCTTGGGCCTCTGCAACTACATGGGAGTCCTGGATGAACCTCAGGGCTCCTGGCATTTCCCTAGCGTAGTCTTAACCATTACTCTCATTTAGGAAATGAAGCAGAAGATAGAAGGTCTCTCCCTTTCTGTAACTGTGCCCTTCAAATAAATAAAATAAATATGCATTAAAAAGATGACAGATCAGTCATACTTGCATGCCTAATAGCACATATGTTCAGATACATGTACTAACATAGCTACAGACATACTCATAGAGCGGTTACGTCTCCATCTAGCAAACAAGAACCAAACAAGAACTTCACACACTGAGTTCAAGAAATAGCAGGAGAATATTAAACATTTCTTTTTGAAGTGTACACATTTTCTGAATTGTGTATCAAGTCATTCAGACCCTGCATTGAGTAAGAAGTTGTAAAGGTGTGAAATTTTTATGCAAGAAGCCTTACAAAATGAATCCACACATTTTTTTTCTGTATAAAGCTATGTAAACATTTCATCAAAACGCATAGCATGTGCCAATTGGTCAAGTGCTTCTATAGCTAAGATCCTAATTCTTCCGGAATACCTGGAATGCACACTGACTGCATGCATACACTCGGAACGCCAGCCCCTGGTAAACTGTGCTGGCCTCTCAACTTTTGGCTGTCCCGTTTGGGGCAGTGCACTAAGAAAGGAAAATTTCACCCTGCTGAGTGAGTAGAATGTGGATTCCATATTGCAGGTGGGAGGCATTGACCTAGCCTTGCAATTCTAAAGAACATTTGTCTTCTTCCCTTTCAAGCAGAAACACAAAGGAAACTGAGTCATCAGCTTCTGGTGGTGCAAACCCCAGAATTTCTCTTTGAGACAGTAAAGATTCCCCTTTGAAAGCTGCACTATGTGTGGCAGCATCTGCCACCTGCTGCAGCTCATTCTTTCACAAGAACCGCTTCCTTTTCAGGCCCTGGGTGGAGTCAGCTAAAATGGAGGTGCTGGGCAACACAACTGAAGCTGATAACTTGTCCCAACCCCAAACTCACTCCCAGCCAGGGTTGGCCGCTGGGGAGGCTTGGCTTACATCCCACCCACTCCCCTCTACCAGAGGACCCCAGCCTGGAGCCTCTGACACTGCAGCAGGGATATGTGAAACCTCCCTTGGTTGGCCACTGTCACCTATTGTTCCTCACTGGGTTTCAGTTGAAGATCCCTGAATTTACTAGAGAGCCATGTCAGCCTGGGTCCTGCAAGACTTCTTCCCAGGGCACATGCAGCTGCTGATGAGCATGTGACAATAGTTTCTCAAGGTCATTGCATCTGAAGCACTTGCAGGGTCAGCGCAACCGCCTCTGCAAGGCCTTCCTTCATTTTCTGAAAGAGAGCATTGCCCTAACTTGTCTCTTAGACAAGAAACAGCCACTTTTTTTTCCTGCCCTGCAAATGAGAGCATGTCTAGAAGGGCAGCTGGCTTCAGATAAGGAAATTGACTTATTTTAGAAGCAAATTACTAGGTTGGCATCCCTGACAGCTGTGGCCAAGCCTGGGGAGACAAAGACCAGGCCCAGACAGGGCAAAACAGCTAAGAGTCTACAGCCTGCCAGCAGGGGCAGGAAGAGAAGCCACTCTCCCCATACTTCACCTGCACTAGTGTCGTAGAACTGGAGAACTAGAGGACCCGAAGAGTGAGAAAACAACCCTCAATTCTCCAAATCCTCCACAACTACTGTAATAAATGGAAGAATTGCAGATGTTGGATTCAAACAGGGAAAATTTCAACTGGGGGAATCCCGGCTCTACCACTTGGTCTGTGGGTGAGTCACGCGTTGTCTCTGAAGCTCCCTCCCTCTATCTGGCAAATGGAGTGTAGCATAGTAATTCATAAGGCTGCTCAGAGGCTTACATAAGAGAATCTTGCCAACCGTTGACTTAATGCCTAGCACACAGTGGTGCTCATTAAGTGGTGTTTCCTAGGGCTTTAGGAATCCACTTTACTCAAGACCATACAGCACAATAGTAGAGTGCCAGGTTTTTTAAAATGGGTGCTCCTAAGCATCCAATGATGTGCTAGAAGTCCCACAAAATCTTCCCAGTGCATCAGCTAAGAAATATAGAAGATTATTCTGAAATATACAAGGTTTATACTAAACACACAGGATTTATTGCTTAACCTGCACGAGCACATGGTGGAGTAACCTATGGAACTGTAAGGCGTGTCTAGTAGGCCACACCCTTCCTGCCCATTGCAGGGGTGGGTGCCAGAATCTGCCATACTCAACTTTGGGGTATTTCCTAGACCAAATGTGGGAAAACACCCTGCCCTAACATCCTAACAAGTCTTGAGAGGGAAAGTTATTCCTTCCCCTCCCTTATTCAGGGCCTTTCATCTCCTTGGGAAAAAAAAAAAAGAAGGATTTTTCTAAACAATCCTTAGAGTCTCTATCTTTGAATCCGCGACAATGATTCAGAAAATATTTCTTGAATGAATGAAAGGGAATCAGTCATAATCTAGGAATTTCATAATGGCCAACCACCCCTCCTACATGGGGAAATTTGGAAGAAAATGGAACTTTTTCCTGCTGACTACCGTCAGAGCACATGTCTATGTCACCATATATTTCCAAGGAAGTAGATGTCCAATGTGTGACTGCCAATCATGGAACTAATTAGTGTTAACCCCAGCAGGGATGGAATTTCCTTCCTGGTCCCTCCACGTGGGAAAATACAGCCATAGGTCTAACTCTCAAGGAGAATCAGTGAGAGCAGAAAGTGCCTGCCACTCCCAGCCTGGGAGCTACCAGACACGATCCTATTTCCCAACACCAGGAGCACAACTGCCTGGCAATGGCAAGAAGAAATAGGTGCTTGGAGGGGCAGGTTCATCAAAGACCACTTTCTTCCTGCCACAGGCTCAACAAAGCTGTTCTTCAACTCAGAGTTCCTACCTCCAAAACAGCTGAACTATCATTGGCCATTTCTCTACCTTTGGTTTTTGTATACCAAGACCGGGTGTTTCTTTTTCCTCCCCCGAAGCCTTGATTCCTGCCCGTTTTCCCTTTGTCCTCTACAGCCCATCACTCCCCAAAGTGAAGCAAGTCCTTTCTCTCCTTCCCCTATCTTCCTGCCCAGCACCGGACCTTCTATTAAGTCACATCTCCTTTCCAGGTCTCAGTTCCTTCTGAACAGCTTTCTGAGTACATAAAAGCCAGTGCTCAGGCAGTTACCATCACGGTGCTTCCTGCCATGGACACTACTCCAAGGAGAGCTGAAGAACCCACAGGGAGAACCTTAAGGCTAAAGGCAATGCCAAATACTTGACGGTAGAGCCCTTTAGAAGAAGCAGAGAGACAGGCTGGAAGGAATCAGGAGTCAGAACACACTGGAGACAAAGCAAAGACAAGAGGGCAAAGAGAGGCAGCATAGCCACTTAGGCAATCCTACAGAACTATCCCCTACCCTTTTTCTCTGAGGTCAGGCCCCAGTGTTCTCCTCTATACTCCCACGCTGAGCCTTTCTGTCTTTCAAGGACCTGCTGGAGCTCCAGTTTCCAGAGCCTCCCCTAAGGTCTTTGGTCCACCAAAGCCCCTCCTCTCCTAGTTTGCCTGTCCCACTGAGTGGAACATACTCTACGCCTTGCCTTTGGAATTCACAACCAACGCACGCTGGTCTGTGTGAGCATCAACACTCACTGAAAATTCTCCAGTCTTTGTTTCCCTCCCGGAAAACAGATCCAGCCACAGGGCACTTCCCAATAGGCCGTTATGAGAGTAAAAAGAGATAGCACAGGTCAATGACGTGCACAGTGAGCATGTGCACTCGATGGTGGCTAGTGTTGTTCTTGCTATTATTACGACTGCTATCGTTGCTTCTGCTCTGGGACTGAAGCTCTAGGTCCTCATCTCTGTTCACAGAAAGTCTCAATGTGGGATTGTGGCTTTGGCTTTCCTGGATACCCCGAATTGAGTTTAGTAAACACTTGCTGAATATTATTAGCTACAGATGGGCCTGTCTTAATGACACAGCTGGCGCTTGTTAAAAGAAGAAATAATTTTGCTAGTGATAAGCAAATCAGCCATGTAACTATCAGCACATATACAGACAAAGAAAAGGAGCGCTTGGAGTTGAGCCACGCTGGGATATCTCACACACTGCATGCCACTCTGTGGCTACTGACAGGCACCAGTCCTATTTGCTTGGGATATTGGAACCCCAGCTCTGAGGCCCTTCCTACTCAACTGGAATTCTGACTCTCCTTGTGGGGCTGAGGGTGCTAGGCAGGCAGCAGGAGCCACATTACTGTCTGCATTTCCCAAACCTGATTGGCAGAAACAGAAGGTTGGCAGAGTTAGGCAGCCGCCCAGGCATTGCCTCTCTTATTCACACCCCATGCCCCAGGCTGGAATCTCAGGCACACAGAACCTCGATTCAGAGGGCTCATTCAAGTTGAAGGCTAGGGTGGTCAGGGCTGGGGGTCAGACTGTAAGATCTTGGAACCCAGGCTCTTAGGGCAGCCACTAGGACACAAGACCCCTTTTCGGGAAGCTCAAGTCCTCCCATTCCTCCTTACTGATCATTTCTGTGGCCACCCTGCCCAGAGCTCCTACTTCTGTCCCAGCACCGGTCCGCATCCCTGCCACCGTCTTGCGGCTGCAAGCATCCAGCAGTACAGTTAACTCTCTGCCATGTGATCCAGTTTCAGAGTCCTCACCCAAATCTTGAGAAGGCAGCCTTTCCTGGCAGCTTTCTGCTCTCCTTCTTTTCCTCCCAGAGAAATGGTGCTTCCCACCGACAGACTCGTCTGCAGCTTAGCACACTCTCCAGCTCTGCTTTCTTGAACCCAGTCCGTGACCCTTGTTACGCACTTAACTCGGTTTTCGCAAGGGGCTCCAGCAGAGCTAGTAGTCCACACACCCCAGGTAGCCCAGCTGCTGTTCCCGAACTAAGGCGGGCACTCACCGATATGCATCTGTGCCAGGCTCAGCTGCACGAGGCAGAGTCCCCACGCTGTGCGCCACCAGAACTTGTCCATGGTGTATCCGAGTAAGCTGAGAGCGGTTGCCGCTGCGGGGTTCCCGGGAACGGGACAGGCTCCAGCAGAAGACAGGGCACGGTAGGCGGATCGAGGTTGTCAGAGGCGGGGGACCTGGGCAATGAGGCCGCCTCGGAAGTTAGGCAGTTTTTATTCAAGAGTTTGAAAGAGTGACCTAAGAGGGAGGGAGCGAGCACAGGACACACCCAAGCGAGGGGCTGTGACTAAAGGCGGCAGCGGAGGTTTAAAGACGTACCAGCCCTCCGTGGCGCAGCCCTTCGCCCCTGCCTGCTTTTCCACTGAACTGGAAACCCCGGTTGCCTGCGGACTCCCAGCGCTCCGGGTCACACAGATTCTCTGCACTAGCCTGCCTGTCTCGCCAACTGGGATAAGCGAGCCCCTAAAACCTCAAGCCACTTTCTTCAGCTTCTGCCTCTCCCTTCCTGCTAGATTTCTTTATTGTGTTTGACTTGGGGAGGCTCTTGGGTCTCGCAGGCAGGTGGATGTCCTGCACACAGTTGGGACCCTGGCTAGTCCTGCACTGAAAGGTGAAGAGTTGGAGTGGAGGAGATCCTGTTTCCTCCCAGGGGAAGGAGGGAGAAAGCTTTCTTCTTCCATTCAAAGAAAAGTGAGTTCACATCCCTCAGTGCAGTTTGAATTCAGGACCGGTTAGGAAAATCTAGCTAAGGACCACTTTGGGGATGGGATTTAGTTCCTTAAATCTACATGTACGTCTTCCGTCCACTCATTTCAGTCATCCTCTGAAAAATTCTTCCATTCTCCCATCCGTCTATCCTCCAATCTTTGCTCACATACTTCCAGGATTCAAATATCCAGCCAGCCCATCGTTCATCTATTATCTATTCATATCCATCCATTCATTTCTTCATTCATCTTCTAGTCCAACAAATCTGTCCATTCACCATCCATCCCTCTATCTTCTACTCGTCCTCCCATACAACTCTCATCCTCTCATCCATCCTTCTGTACATACCCTTTCATATCCCTTTGTAACTCAACTCAGAAACACCCCCTTCTCCATCCGTTCTATTGATTGATTTATCTATTCATCTCCCACCCGTCCATCATTAACATGCCCATCCATCTTTTATCTGTCCTCTCATCAATCCACATATTCAACAATTCTTTCATGTTCCCATTTATTCTACAATCTATGCCAACATTAATCAACTCTCCTCTGCCTATCCTACACAGCAAATCTCAAACATGAGAAGGGATTGTCATATTCTTTCAGGAAGGCACTTCAAGTTTGACTTGTATGTTTGAATTCCAGTTCCATCTTCATCTAAAGGATACAATGGTTTAGTATTTGGAAATAAAAACTAAGTTTAATGTGAACTACTGAGGGTAGATCTGAATGAGCTTCTGCTTTTTGAGATACATAGAAAAGTAAAGTGACAATCAATGTGTTGAGGTCCTGGAGGATAATGCCAGAATTGCCAAGGGAAGATAAGCTTCTGTGATTTATTGAAAGGAATGGGAAAACTGGTGAGAGAGACACCTAGCTACCTGCTTGCCCGTTTACTCATCACACAAGTGATGATCATGAAAGGTACTCAAGGTAGGTAAGACCTGACCATCCGCAGAACTCTCTTTTCTAATAGGAAAGGAGAACACTGAGGAGAGTCTTTGGGACAGCAGTTAAGATACTGCGTGGTACACTCATATATCATGTCAGAGTAACTGGGTTTGAGTTCTGGCACCCCTTCTGATTCCAGCTTCCTTCTAATGCCCATCTATGTGGCAGAAGATGATGGCTCAAATATTTGGGTCTCTGTCACCTGTGTGGGAGATCTGATTTGAATTCCCGGCTCCTGACTTTGGCAATGTCAGGCATTTGAGGAGTCATTTGAGTTACCAGCAGATGGTAACTCTCTGTCTTGTTCTCTATCTGTTTACCTCTCAAATAAAAAGTGGATGAATAAAACACTTAGAAAAAATAAAGCAGACTGCCACCTATAGAATAAAGTAATCTACAAAATAGTCAGCCCTCAGTATGAGTGCATTGAAAATATTTAGAAAGAAAACATTGTGTCTATACTAAATATGTGTAAGTTTTCTTCTTTATTCCCTAGATGATAACAATATAGCAACTATTTACATGGCATTTATATCATATTAGACCCTTTAAGCAATTATAGATGACTTAAAATATATGACACCTTGTACAGGTTATTGGTAAGCCCTATACTGTTTTCTTGATCTTCTGAGAGTTTGAAACCCTGGGGGATCCTGGAACCAATCCCATATGGATACCAAGGACAGGTTTATGTGTATTCAGGAGCTACCAGCCCTAGAGAAGGGAATCATACTATTTCCTGGGGGATACCAGGAGGGCTTCACAGAGGAGGTGAAATCTGAGTTAAGGGGCAGATTAGGACCTGTTTTTTGTTACAATGTTGGTGCAGGGGCAAGATACCAACAGGCAGTCCTCTGTAGTGGTGAATACCACGGCTTCGGGGGCAGAACACTGAGCTTCCTCTTCTGTGTCGTTTTTGTTTGCTTGTTTGTTTGTTTTTTCTTACTAAATGTGTGAACTTGAGTAGGCCAAAGGAATGAGCTTTCACATACCAAATTTCTCCAAATGTCAAATGGGCTCAGTAATAGCATCTACTACTACATTACACTACAGTACATAGTTGAATATCTATCATAGAACTGACAAGGACTAAATGACTAGAAAGTCCTCCATATACTAAGCACTAATATGCAGATACATAGTGTAAGCACTATAAATATGAAAATTATTTGAATATTAATTCAGATGAAGAGTTTGGGGAAGGGAATAGTAAGACCTAGGGACACACAACGGTCAGATTGTAACTATGTCAGACAATTTGAGTTTGATCAAATTAGAAATAAAGAGCTGATGGAAGTTTTAAAAATTACTGTTTTGTTAATATGCATGTAACATGAAACTTACCATTTGTAAGTGAATAATTCCAGTAGTACTTTTACATTCACAACATTCCAGAACTTTCCTCTTCATTTGGTACAAGTTTTTCTGGCGGTTTGATTGTTAGCTGTTTTACTTGTATTTTCAGGGAGAGTGGGGATGCACAATCACTATCAGGGCCCATTCCACAGTGGTTCAGTAGCTTACCTGCCAAGGTGCCAGGCACTGCTGTCTGAAACAAAAACGGTGCATGTGAGCTGCCTGGATGATGCAAATACTGCCAATGATGGGAAAGACTTATTCCTGCCATTGCCTGTGACCAAAGGAACCCTTTCTTGAATCACCTGGAAGCAAATAGTTCTGGGGGAGCTCCAGGTTCTGACCATATGGGAGCCAGCCCAGATGGGCTTCCTGTGTGGGTGAGGCCTGACCTCGCACACCTGGTGCTTCTCCAGGGAGTCCAGCCTTCTCTTCTTGGAAGAAGGGAGAGTAGTAAGAACAACCTTTGCCTCCCTGTGTTTCCAACTGGAAGTTCCTTGTTAACCCCTTAGAAACAGAGGCAGAGGAAAGGGCAAAGGCTTCTGAGTGGGCTGCCATGGGAACCTAGAAGTTCCATTTGAATTTTAGGAGGTCAGTTTTAATATATGAGATTGCATCTTGTCAGTGGGTTTTATTGTTTAAAAATATGTGTAAAACCACCCAACAAGATCATCTTGAATATTGATCCTTTCTGCAGTTAGTTCAGTAAATAATCAGTATCAATAATAATAAAAAAAAAATCGATCAGAAAGTGCTTTGCAAACTGTAGCTGAGCATGCAAATTCTAGCAGTTGTAATTAGGCTTATTCTCCCTGTGGGGAGTATCTCGTCTGTCTGCTTCCCGACAGTCTATTGAGGGACTGACTGAAGCTGTTGGCCCCCATGCCACAAATGACTCAATTCACGTAGTTAACCAGGTGACTTACTGACTCCAAACCTGTCTTTGGGAATTTCTGGATCATTCTCTGAGCTTCCTCTCATCCTTCTGCTGCTCCAAACATACATTTCTAACACAATTGGCCACATCAATCTTTTCCACACTTTAAAGACTAGATGATGAATTTTAGCTGCGTATTTGCTGCTTATCACACTTCAAACACCTCTTTAAAAGATGGCATGTGGGAGACTGGAAAAGAGAGCTTGAACTGATCTGGATGAACATGAGGTCATGTCATTTGCGAAGACTCCAGAATACAGTCAGCAGCCTTGGACTGAGAAAGCCCAAGTCTGAGCAATACCAGCTCATCCCTCAGCAGCCCAGTGACGTAACCTCACTGCGTTTCAGTCACCAAGCCACAAAATAAGAAACGATATTTTATAGTTGACTATGAGTAAGCAGGGAAATAAGGCAATCAGACCATTTACTGGCGGGCTTACCTTATAATGGGTCACAATGACCCACCAACCCCTAGGCTATCAGAGAACAGGGACGTGTGTGTACTGGACACGAGTATATCCTGAGCTCTCCAGGCCTGGCAGACCCCTGTCTCCCATAAACAGAACATGTTCCACAAATAATTGTGTAAATTTCTGAATGATTCTGATTCTTTTCTCTCCCCCTCACACCATACAGGAGTGTTTGGGGAATTGTCTATTTCAATAGGTTGAAACAGACAGCTTGACAGAATATCAATATTATGGTCAATAGCAATAATAAAAGAAATAGCAGTATCCCAGCCGAGGTGGCTAGATTGGGAAAATTTGTGGTGGTGCCAACTCCTTGCTCGTTCTGCCAGACAAGGTGTTTTTGCCAAAATATTGGGGCCTGATGGTTTCAGCCTATGTATACTAATTCTTGTCCCTCAGCAAAAAGAGTTCAGGCTAGACTAAGTGTCCGCAAGACACTCCGGTTGAGAGACTGGGAGGTGGGGTTGAATCATGAAATTCCAAGATTATAAATCAATTCTTTTAGAGGCCTGCTTCCCAGAAAAGAGCACAGAACGGAAAACTTGTTGTTTCAGTTCAGTTTTAAGCTTTGAACAATTTACTCTCTATGCTCACACAGTGTGAATTCTGCAATGCAAATGAGCAATGGTAAAAAAAAAAAGCCTTTTTGAAAATAACTATTCAAAAAATTTAAATAAATTGGTAACTGGAAAGTAATCATGAGAGATAATTGACCTGGAGTGACTAATCTCAAACTAAGCTAGTGTGGTTATAGAGCTAAATCTTTCCACAGTTCAAATGATAGCAAATAAAGAAGCTGATGCGACTGCTGCCTCTTGAAAATGCGAAAGGTT